ACTATATATGGTATATATACTATATATACACTATATATACTATATATATGTATATACACATATAGCTATATATGTGTACGTGTAATGAATATTGCTTTTGTACATTGTATCGTGATATACAGATGTACGTAAACTTACGTTCTAGATTTTGTGTTACTCTGAATGATGATCGCTGATTAATTCGCAGTTTGGACAATTTCAAGTGGCGACTTACAAAAACATTACGAATATATAACAGTGATGATTGCTCTGTTTTGTCCAACTACGACTCCATTAATATTTCGCAAATTATCAAGCAGTGTTGCAACCAATAATGCGGCTTGTGGATTGAAATCGCGGGGGTACTGCAACTTTGGAAATATACATATACACTGAATACACAGTGATGGATTTTCATTATTTCGTACACGAAAAATTAAATAAAATTAAATAAAAACTAAGCAAATGTAAATACATTAATAAACATATATATCGAGAAAAATTGCGGGTGCTGAAGTGCACCTGTTCACGAGCCGTCACTGATTACAACACAATTGATATACATGACTTTATATATGTGAGTTTGATTGTAATTAATGGGGGCGAAAAATAATTTGTTGGTCTCTTCACTCTTTATGACCATACATTTTATGCTGTTCGCAACTTATTTTGTGAATTAATTTTTTCTTTTACTTCAATTCTCTTTCCAATTCTATGTAAAGTTTACGAGAGAACGTAATCAGGAATAAATTTCAGTTTCGAAATTGACTTGTAATATTGATCGAGTCAGTTCATACAGTGTACTTACAGTTCAATTCAAATTCCGTATAAATCGAGCTTCGAGCGATAGATAAAGATCAATAAGAAAAGTACGAGTAGTTCGTTGAAAGTTGAAGTTAACTGGATGCAATTCATAACGTTCCATGCCTCGTTCTAAAACTCATTACAAACAAAGCTGATTCCAGCAATAATGATTGAAAGCAATAATATTAAGAAATGTCAAGAAAATTTCCCGTTTGAAACGTCATACTGCTTATGCATTTCCGGTAAAATGTCTGTCAACGACGATAATGATTTGAACGCGCATGTGAGAGCCAGAACAAGCTCTGTACATTGATTTGTTCTAGACGCTACCTATCTCTCAATGTTTACCCTGCGTATCAATCCAGAAGTTCGAACATCACAAGTATAATATTTCATTGATTTTCTGACTTTCGTGTTATTCAGTGTGTTTTAATATAAGGTAATCAAAGAGAGAAACTGTTTATTCGATCCAAAGCCGTCCAGCGACGAATGAGATAAATCCATGAAGTTAACAGCGAAATCAATATATTTTCGAACTAAATAGTTTTTTAAGAGAACCCAACAGTCAAGCTTAAAAATTCCCTTCGCATGAAGCTCGTAGAGGAAAACCTGACAAGCACATCTTTATTGATTTATTCTTTTGATTTTATGCTTTGCGATCAATTGACAACGTGTTGCGTTGTATTTTACACGCCTCTCTGCAAAAACTGAAAGATACGACGTGTTATTAAATTTTTTCTGTTATTACAAAAACGCAAAAAAAGAAACATGACTTAACACTGATCTTAGCTTGAAACGCTTGTCTCTCGGAAGACAATATAGGAAAACAGTGCGAACACCTTCGACTCGTTGCTATTCTACCAGATCGATCGCGTACTTGCAGCTCTCCTAACCTTTAAAAAACAACCGGGGAGTCCGGATCCTCGTCCTCTTAACCATCGCAACGCGAGATTTCAAGATTCCTCTACGAATGAATTCTCACCACCCTTGAAGCACGCCGGCCCTCGGGCGCGTTAATTTTGCCCGGCGAATTGATTTCGACCCTGTCGTGGCTATAGCCCGTCCGTTCTCGTAGCCCGTTCCTGCATTAACTCTGCCCAGTTAGATCGAAGTTGCGAACCGCCAAGAGGGAGAGCCCCGGGATCAGTGAGAGGAACGAGAGTCAGTGAACGAGGGAGGGAATAGGAGTGGTAGTACGCGGTTTAAAGGGAACATGTTGGTTATATGAGTTTCAGAGAGGTTATGGCTGCATGATGCGAATGGAGGCGAACGGGAAAAAGAAGACAGGAAATGATACAGATCGATGACAAAAAAAAAAAAGAAACGATGCATGCTTTGCACTGGCAACGACGAAATCACGGAATTCGAAAAAATTTAAAGCTGAACGTAAGGAATAGAAAACTTTAGATGGGATACAAGGACGTAAAATTGTCGTAGAACAGATGTGTATGCGTTTACCACTCATAAAAAAAAAATATATATATATATATAT